TATCAGTATATCAAAAAGGAGTCTACTTTACTGGCATAAAAGTGTTCAACAATCTGCCACAAAGTATTAAAAACTTGGGCAATGATACTAAAAAGTTTAAATCAGAGTTAAAGAATTATCTACATGCTCATTCCTTCTACTCTTTAGATGAATACTTCAATGTAAATGGAGAATGATGTAAAATTAAGTTATATTAATTTTTAAGCTAAAATTTTGACTTGTTCTGTATCCAAAGGTACTAACCTGCTTAGGATTTATAGAATGTAAATAAATTCAATTCAATTCAAAAAGCTGTGCAATAGTTATATTTTTATTCTGGATGCAAAAAGCAAATACTTCACACAAAACTGTACACAGGTTATGAATTTCAACCATACCAAATCTATGTCTCTTAACTACAACATATATATTATTTGGCATGACATATGAGGAATGAGAAATGCAAATGAAATTTTGATCAGTAAATCTCAAAGGAAGAAGCAACTCCAGAGACCTGGAATTTGATAAGAGAATAACATTAAAATGGATGTTAGAGAAATAGGATACTAGCATATGGGCAAGATTTGAATGGCACAGGATATGGGATTTCATAAATATGGTAATAATTCTGATGATCTTGATCATTTCATCACCTCAAACAAGCAATAAATTTAAAAAATCAAATTTATACACACTCCTCTGAATCCTCTAATTCTCTGTCTTCTGCTTCTAGCCGCTCATCCAGTTCCTCTTGACTTGACTCCTTTGAAAGGAAAGCTTCATCAGTGCTCTGGGCTGAATGGGCATCCACATTGCTCACCTGGTGTCGAGCCTGTAAGGAGGGAACACATCTTTAGTCAAGCAATTATAATAGTACCAACTCACTTCAAATTGGAAATATAGCAAAATCTGTGACACTCAAATATTCCTTGGACTTTATGTTAATTAATGTAGATAAAGGACATTAACTTCTATTTATTGGCAATATAACATTAAGATTGGATCTTACATAACTGTACTGTGAGTATGCAGGGTGGATAGAACTGGCACAGTATTGTATCCAAGAAACTATTAATAATCTCTATACGAACTGCACTTATTTCAAGAAGAGTTCATACATGTGTTATGCACTTGAAATATTTCAAGGTATTAATTACACCTTAAATGACAAATAAATCTGGCTACTCTGAATTTGATTTGTTTAATTATGGTCCATCACACTCACAATTACAAAGACAAAACAATCCAACCAGTGTGACTATTTAAGTTTTACTATTCGAAAACTTAGCACCCTTGCATGTTTCGATCCTTACGGATCATCTTCAGAGGGAACATCAACACTTATTCGGAAACTACTATCACAATTGGTGTTCCAAGTGCTAAATTACATACATACACAATGCCTGGAATACACAATATACACAAAATCCAATTTTTCACAATCACAGCAGCTTTCCTGGTATTAAAGTTTTTAAAAATTTTGTTGTTTAAGTTAAAATGTATAAAATAAACCAAGTAGGTTCGTGTCACTTCTCCTATCATCTTTCCTGAAGGGGACTGAACTTGTGCCGCCTGTCTATCTTGAGAAGGAGATTCTTAGTATCATCCTGTGTTTGTTCGTGGCTTGCTGTGTTGTTTTCACTGTTTGCAAGTAGTAAAACTTAAATAGTCATACTGGATGGAGTTCTTTTGTCTTTGCGACTACTCATAACTTCAAATCAAAATATCAAGGTCATATAAGACATGAATCAGACCAAGAGTAATCCATGGGCCGCACCACAGCTCAAGTGGTTAGTCCCTGGCTTCTCACAGTGGTGGCCTGGGTTCGATCCCGGGTCTGGTCAAGTGGGATTTGTGGTGGACAAAGTGGCACTGGGGCTGGTTTTCTCCAAGTACTTCGGTTTCCCTTGCCAATCTTCATTCCATCAAATTCTCCATCATCATAATCACCCGGGGCAGGTACAATAGGCCAATCAGTGACCGCTGTACCAAGTGGACCCAGCTGGACTCCACCCCCCACTAAAAGTTGTCCATGAAAGAATTCAGCATGAAGTAGGCAGCTCTGCTTGCTTCATGCTGATTCCTAGCTTGGCTTACTCTTCAACCCTGTAGATGGAAGCAGTATATTCCACTGAAATGTCAGCTGATTTCCACTAGACTACATGGCATTACATCCCAAAACAGAGAACCCTCATTCAAAAATCTAATTTAAAATCTTCTCACCTCTTCCTCTCTGGCCTGTTTGGCCTCCCTGAATCTTCTCCTTGCCAGACAGCCTCTGATGTGTGCCTGGAACACCACAATACCGGATCTCAATTTCCGGTACCAGGCACTTGCCTTGTGTGAGCGCCATGCTCTTTGAATCTGTAATGCCGCAGCTAGCCGTATTCGTGTCTGGTTTAATAACCGTTGTGCCATCACCATGCGCCACTGAGACTGAAGAAACCACAATCCAACACAATTCAGACATGTGGTCCTGTGTTAGTCTTCAAACATACAAACTTTCTTCTGCCACCTGTACTTCAGTACTTCTATACTGATCTGTTTTTCGATAACCAGGATTCGCATGAACTTTGGGCTATTACACGGAAAATGTAAGGAATAAGTTTTACCTTATGCAACATATTTACGCAGATGTAAATCTCTATTTCATATTTAAGTAAATTACCCTTGGGAAGGAAATATACCAACACTTTTATTCATCATCATATTTAATAAAATTTGGATTTCACAGACTCTTAATTTACGCAGCACAAGAAGTTGAGTACAAATTACAACAACTAGTTTCTTTAAAATATTTCAATCCAAACGAGAAGCTAATGTGGACTATACAATTCAGTAATCTATTTCTGTGCCTACTGCACACTAGCACAATCTGAGATCTGGAGTTTGATATTACGAATATTAAGATCATAGGATAGCAATGTGACATAGTGTACCCCTCCAAAAAGTTGGTGCATATATACCAAATTACATGGCATCACATCACAGAAGACCTTAATATTAATTTCTACTAGCACACTTTCCCACTAAATTAAATCTGCCAAAGTTTCACATCACTGCCATGTTCATAACTGTTAACATAGGAACTATGTTCCTCACATAACTTGTTGACTTGTATGCTACACCTCCATATAAATTTTTAAATCCTCAGCTCTCATGTTCATCAGCTATCAGCACCAAACCAAAAGTGAGAGTTTCAGATGGCCACTATGTTATTGTTTTACATTCCACAATAAAAAAATGCCTTAATAGGAGTTTCATACTTTTCAAACCACATGAAACATCACAATCCTATGTCAAGCACTGCTTGAATTGGTGCTAGTGTTACCCAACTTCACAAATTTGAGTGGCTCTCGTGTGGTTATCGATTGTACGAAACTGGCATGTACAGAGGTGGTACTACAATCACACTAAAGTTGGCGAAAATTTGTCAACTTGTTCGAAAGTTATTGGAGGGCTGGACATATAACAAAAATATGCACAAATTATTCCACATATAAGTCTATAAATACAACATAAACAAATTGCTCAACCCAACTACTTTCCTAAATTCAGTTCTAGTACACATTTATGAAATACAAAAATGGAAAATAAATATCAGAACAATGAACACTAAATAACACAAATACATATGAAACCATAATAAAGGGGTAGATATCAAAAGCTTGGAAAGAAGTGCTAGTCAGTATTATTTCAAAATCGTTTTCAAAGTGCTGTTTGTCTAATGCAGAGGATGGAACTCAAGATGGCATTCCTTGGGACGACAGTAAACACACTGGCGAGGGTGCATCATCATCTTCAGAAAAATGTGCAATTGAAGGTCCACTCGACAAACTTCATGATTAAATGCATGTAATGAAAATTTAAAATTTCCATTTCATTCTGGTACATTTTCCATTACTTTTCACTTTAAATGTGTTCTAAATAAACTCACTGAAATAAATATACCATCCTAATTTTTTCCTAAAACCCTCATTTAAAAACTGTATGCTTCTTAAATTTGAGAACATCTTATATTCAAAGTAATACAGTATTAGAAAATCATGGCAAGAGAGCCTTCAAAAGGAACATGAAGCAATACTATGACCAAATTTATCCAACTAGTTTTCATATGCTGGAAAACTTGATGCTATAATTTTAATACCTACGTATGATAATCGTAATAATCCTATACTTCAACTATCTTCAAAGGTTATTTTGCTGAAAAGCCTATAGACCATTCCAAAATAAAACAATAACAATGATTACTTATAGGTGTTCACAATGAAATCAATCAAATTCAAGTGGAAACTAGAAGAATTACAACAGCAAATAAAACCGTGTCTAAATCTAGCTGGATTGTATATGCAGGAAGCGTAAGATTGATAAGGGAAGCCAGTATACACTAAAACAGAATGAAGTATCCTTGAAAATTTCTAGGCTCTTACATAGAGTTCACACTAAAGGCACACAAAAGTTTACAGAAAAGTTGATATACCCTTCAGAGATGTTCTATATCTGTTACATGATTCAAAATGATTTTGAAAATGTAAAACAACTGCAATAGCATGGATTATAAATTGAAGCACTGAATTAAGGTCTAAATTATAACTTATATGATGAACATCTACAGGAACATAACATATTAATGAAAGAACCAAGATAAATAGAATTCAGAGGAAAGAATTTATCTGTGATGAAGTAAAAGACAGAACATGAGAACAAAGTGATAATTTTTTTGCAACCACCCCAAGCAATGGAAACAATGCCACATAAGAGAAAGGAGGGGAAAAGAGAGAGTAATGGCAGTTCTTTGGCTACTTAAAATATCGCTCTTACAAATGCACAGGTTATATTGCATCAAGCGCTAGAATTAAGAGTTCTATCTTCTGGGGTACAACATTATGTAATCTAATGAAGTTAAACCAGTGTTTCAGAAGAACCTGTCACCTCCATCATGCTTGGCTTACTCTCTCTCCTGAAGATGGTGACATATTCCTCAGAAATGTCAGATGACTTCCAAAAGACTATACAGTGTTATATTTCTAGAGACAGAATCTTTCTAACTACCACTGTGAGAACCTCAAATCCTATAAACAGTAGGAAGACTGTTAATGATGACTGAGAAGAATTGTGGAAGTAAATTGCCATGGCCAATTCTGAGGTACTATCCAAAATTCTGTTTCAATAGACTGAGTAAAACAATGGGAAATCTGTCAGGATAGTCAGTGTGTACAATGAGATTTAAATACAGAATGTTCTAAAAGTAGGTGGGCTAACAACTCAACCATGATGTACAGTATAGGGGGTCTACAGTGATGTTAAAAATCACCTGTCATATGAACTTTCAGGAACGGATAATGTTAACAGTACACTGTACACTACACTGTAGACAGTACACTGTCTTGGAAAATACATATTGAACAAATTATACCTAAATTAAATGCAGCTTGCTATGCGATGAGATCAATTAAGCCTTTTATGTCACAGGAAACATTGAAGATGGTTTACCATGCCTACTTTCATTCTATTATGAACTATGGATTAATATTTTGGGGGAACTCTTCACATAGTGTAATAATTTTTAAAATACAAAAGAATATAATTAGAATCATTACAGGATGTAGAAGTAGAGATTCATGTAGAGAATTATTTAAGAAATTAAAAATTCTACCTCTTCAATCGCAATACATATT